AAAATTGTATCCTCTTTTATGCCTAGCTTTGATATTATTTTCATCCTGCACAAGCAAATACAAAACATTAAGAGAAAGTAAAAATGCTTGGAAGGACCAAATTTACAAAGGTTAAAAAAATCAGTAACAACCTTCCACATAGTTAAGTTGGTAGAAGAAAGAAGTGATGCACTAGTAGAATAAGACTGGTGAGTTCAGTGGTAAACTTTGATGCTACTCTATACCAATTGCATAATAGGTTTTAATTTGGCAAATAAAATATAACCTCACAATCAGCATTGAAGTCTGGTCTGGGTTGGGCTACCAAGCCATGATGCCTGCCATCAATTTTTGAATCTTGTTTTACTTTCTCTTTTACTAGTTTCTGCAACAAATGAAGCGTCTCAACCCTGTAGCCCGCACTGTAATTGCTCATTATCATCATCCTGATGTAGCCAAATACGAGTCTAGAATGGTAGTAGAACATTTGAATGGAGAAATGATTAGTATGACATTTTAAAACTTGAAATTACATATAGTGAAGGGAAAAGAAATTATCAAATTAATTTGCTTTTGAATTGTAGGTAATAATGGTAGTAGATAATAAATTTGGTTTTAGTTGCTAGTACTATAAATAAATGGAAAAAATAAAAAGGGATTTAGTAGTACTATCTAAAAGATTGAAAGAAGGTCAATGCATAATTGAATTCAATAAGGAAGAAGAGGGAATTAAAGAAAAAAGATTTAATATTATATATAGCTAAAGGCTGAAGATACCTCAGTGGGATCTCCATCTTGTTGGATCCATCTGTCGTCTATGGGATATCCGAAATGTGAGAGATGCAGTCCCACTCGGAACCACTTCCACTGGCGCATAACTCAGGGCATTTATAAATAGAAAGCCATTTTAATTTGGAGAGACATCAGATGGCTTCCATATGTTTCAGAGATTTGCAGTTGGAAATCTTCAGAACTTGAAGAGAGGATAAGTTTTCAAACCAATTTGGCAAAGCGTCCAGTCCATCAAAATCACTAATGTCGAGACTCTCAAGGGCAGTTAGGTGTTGAATTTGATCTGGCAGATGTTCTCTTGGTTGTCCCCATGCAATCAAAGTCAATTCTTCAAGAGAGGATCCGATGAAGCCCTGATCTGGAAATTCCTGGAGCTTTGTTGAGAAACCGCCAATAGTCAGTTTCTTCAGGCGAGGAAGGCTCCAGCTCCTCCTCAAATCATCTGGAATGGAGATTAGATTATCACAATCAGCGATAGCCAATTCCTCAAGAGCAGTGCATGATGGCAACCCACTTGGCAAACTGTTCAATCCACCACAATACCATATCGATAAAGTCTGGAGAGAGTAAAGCCCATGGAGGCTCGGAAGGGACGTCAGACTATTATTACAATACCATATACTGAACTCTTTAAGACATGTGGCGGTTGATAAACTCTCTCCTATGCTTTTCCAGCATGTTTGGGATGCAGGTTAGGATAAGACTGGATAAGATAAAAACAATGGGATAAGACAAGATTGGATTGGAAAAGATAATATGAATCCCATCTTATGTTTGACACTTCTTTGGATTATATAAAAAATTTATCCCATCTCATGTTTGAAACTTTGTAGGATTACACAGGATAACTTTAACAAATTTTTCATATGGACAAAAATATCCTTAAGTTTAAAATATTTAAAAACTTTCATTTATTTACCCAAATTTATTATATAAAATGTCTTTAAAAAATAAAAATATATTAATTTATAAAAATAATTAACTTCTTTAACTACCAAAGGTATTATATTTATATAATATATAAGTTCATAAATAAATCAAATAAATTGTACATTAAAAAGTCATAAATTACAAAAAAAAATAAATAAGTCAAATTTATCAAAATAATTCATAAAAAATTTAAATAAAAAACTAAGATTGAAGAACAAAATAAAAAGAATATAATGTAAAATGAAAATAATGAAATTCCCATTCTACAATCTTCAAAACAATGAACAGAAAAATTTCATAAAAATAGTGCAAACTAATTGCCAAATCTATCATTAATAGTCATTCATATATAGTATCAATCCTTTGAAATAGTCACCATTATCTATATATACCATATATGATTTTTCCTAATAAGTCCTTTACAAACACATATGCTTCCTCTTAGTCAAACTCCCAAAATATTTGTTGCTCCATGGAATCCATCTTGCTTAACTCAATTATGGTAACAAAATTTTAGGCAAAGACCAAGTAAAATATTAAGAACAAAAACAAATTAGTAAAAACCTTGGTGAGCAGCCGAAAGCAAAAGAATTTGAAATAGATACAGATAACACATATTCAAAATGATTAAGAAAATAACTACCAAGGCATCTGCAACTTCTATTTTGTTTTCTATCTCTTCCTGCAAAGAACTCTACCAAATCACAAGCTATGCAACACAAGATGCTTATAAATAGAAAAAAAAAAAAAAGCAATTTCCTCTATGCAATGCCAAACAATCAGTACTTGTTACATGCAAATCAGCTCTCTATGGCAAGGAAAATCACAGCATTTTTAGTCTGTGTTATATGGACTCTACATATAGTTTATGAGGATCTGTTGCAGAATCAAACTACCATATGAATTGAAAATACAAGAACATAAAAACTTAACATTAAAAGCCAGACTCATATGCTAACACTTCTCACTTAGGTTAAGAAAATAAGGTAAGAGAACTTAAAGAAAGTTATCAATCCAAACCAAAGACATCTGTTTTGTCAATTGAGAGAAAAAAGGAGTCAATTTTTGTCTTCTTCTTGAAAACCATGCATTGATTAAGCCACAATAATAATAATTGGAAATGAAAAAGAAAAAAATCTGTTCAGATTGGTGAGGACTGTTAATGAAAAGGCAGGGAGAATATCATAATAAAAATGATAAAAATCTGTTAACCTAACTTTCATTTAAGTTGCAACCGTTAATCACTCACCGTCAGTTAACAATTCTGTTAATTTTGACTGGTGGAATGGCACTGACAAGAAAAAATAATTACACTATTGGTCCAATAGTGAGGAATGATGCAAATCATGATAACACCTTACACATAGCAGGGGAGGTTCATTCTTCCTTAATACTCCCTAATTAACCCGACCATTCCTAAACTACCTCCCTAAATCATCAGCTCATATACCTTCCTTGCAGAAGACCACACTGCTATGACAAAAAGAGGCATCTTCTGAGCACACAACCCCATCACAAGAATACAAGAAAGCTAATAGGTTGAAATTTAACATATGAAGAACCATATAATACTGAAAGAATTCAGGTTGGGTAATTGACATGAATTCAGCAATTAAAAGTAACCCATCATGATTGACATGAATGCAAACTTAGATAAGGAAATAAAATTTTTATCAAAGAATTTTCTATGATAACTTGGATTTAGAAGTATTTTGGATAATCACTATTGGTCCAGACTCTAGAGATGATGGTGTACTTTTTTGGGTTGCTCCTGTAAAGTGCAAACCCGTGAGCATCGGTGGCCAACTATTCACGGGAGGAGTAGAGCAGAGTTTAATCTAAGTCGAAATTTCAAGAAAACAAACTGAAAATAGCATCCACAAGCTGCAACCATTCTATGGGCAAAGAATAGAAAATTCAGGTAAAATTCAAATCCAGCAATAGCCCATCATTTTCCAGCCAACAAGAAGCTACCAAAATGTTAAACATTAGAAAAGCAGATTTGAATGTGCAAAGAACAGAGGAATAAGTAGATCTGAGTTCTATAAATAACGAAGAAAATAAAAATGAAAATGTAGATCTGAGACTTACCAGAGGATCGACAGAGTGGCACCGGCTATGGCAACCGGAATAAGTAGCTCAATGCCAGAAAAGAACAAACGTGTAGGAATCACTGAGAGTGAGAAAAGAGGGGATAGACCTGAGTTTTATAGTTAATGAAGAAATGGGAAGGAAAAGCTAGATCTGCGACTTACCGGACGATTGACGAAGTGAACCTCGACGGAGTGGCACCGACAGTGGCAACTGACCGACGAGATCACAGAGAGTTGAAGGTCAATCACGATGACAGAGAGGTAGGAAGAAAAGGGCAAGAGAGATTTTGCTTTTAAGTCGGTAAAAAATTAAATCCTATCCCACCGTCTCCCAAGGATACATCGGATGATTTCATTTCTGTAGGTTGGGACTGGACAAAATATGAGTTATGTTTTGTCCAATCCATTGCGATCTCCAAACTACATCACATTGTCTGTAGGTTATGGTTGGTCAAGATTAATTTTTGTTCAATCCCACAATTGCCCACACTCCGATATAGCAAATTTTTGAAAAGAGGAAAGTCCGTGGAGGCTCGGAAAGGACATCAGACCATTACAGCAACTTATAACTAACTCTTTGAGACACGTGGCAGTAGAAAACTCTCCCCCATGCTTTTCAATTCCTCACATTTGATTATCTCAATTTTTTTAAGAGAGTAGAGCCCATCAATACCCGGCATGGACATCAGCTTATCACGGTCAAAAATATTTAACTCTTGTAGACACGCGGAGGCAAATCGAGCATCGTTCCCAATCATCCTTAATTCCCTGCATTCCTTAAGATCAAGTATTTCAAGGGATTGTAATTTACTAATCATCTAAAGATTTTCCAATTTACCACAACTCCTTATATGTACTTCTTTGAGAGACTTCATGGCATCTGGTCCAACTTCTACTCCAGCCAGTCCTTCACATCCCTGAATGATGAGTTTTTGAAGAGACGAATATGCAATGCTTTTCAAATTCTTGCAATTTTTAATTTCCACCTTTGCCTCATTACTGAATGGAAGTGATGGAATGCTTTCCAACCTGGGGGATTCATAAAAGGTCATGAACATCAGATTTTTGAGAAAATTGACATTTTCTGGCATCAACTTTTTTATTTCTGACATCCATGAAGGACAGCTTTTACCACAATAGGATATAATAGTTAGGCCTTTCAAATTTGAATGAGGTTGGAGGCCTTCCCAGATATCTTCATCATGTTTGCATCTATGTTCACTACCATTGGATGTCTCACGAAACACCAACTGCAACTCTTGAATTGTAGCCTTTTCAGAAAGTCTTGCTCCCATGGCTTCTTCTTTGTCTCTAACCATATCCAAATCACAAATCTTTAATTCTCCCCTGAGTTGGCTTAAACATCTCAATTCTTCAATTTAATGTCCCTTCTGTTGGCCCACAACAAATAATTGTAATGTTTTCAAACAAGTTAGTTTACCAATCCTTGCTGGCATAAGCTTCCACTAATTGAAATAAATGTGTCTCAAATTGATTAAATCCCATATTCCCTCCAAAGGCCTTTTGAGTTGCCAAAAATACATAAATCTAAATGTCTGCAAATGATAGAGCTTGGTGATGAACTAGTTTTAAAGCAGGTATTGGCAAGCCATCGAAACTCAATTGTAATACATGCAAAACTCCATCAGCCTTTTCTATTGAATCCCATATTTCCTTGTTATCTCTAATTGATGTCCAGTAGTCTTTGTTTATATTATTGCACAATGCCCCCCGTATAAAATTTGCAACTAATGCCACCCCTTTACATTTCTCAGCAATGTTCAATCCAATACTCTGCAATTCCTTCAATTCCAAAGAATTAGGAGAGTTGCCAAATGCTCTAAGCCTGATAATAGACCAACAATTCTCATCTGTTAGCTTGTCAAGATGCACGTGCTTGCTTCCCATTATGGAATCTACTTTCTCAATTCTAGTTGTGACAAGAACCCTACTCCCACCCCTTTTTCCTATTCCCAACAAACAATTTCTTAAGTTATCCTATTTTGGCTTTTCTTCATTCCATACATCATCTAGAATGAGGAGATAGTTTTTCTCCTCAAGCATTTTTTTAAGTTTCTGAACTACAGCTTCTTGATTTTCAAAATCCACATGATCATTCTCATTAGTGATGAGAGGTTTCAGCATCATTGCTAATATTTGTTTCTCTCAAAATTTTCAGAAACACAAACCCACATTTTTTTGTGAAAATGTTTCTCTATCAGCTCATTGTTGTACACTAGTTTTGCAATGGCAGCTTTACCTATGCCTCCCATACCAACTATGGATACAACAGGGAGACGTTGATCATCACTTGAATCAATCAACAACTGAACTACCTCTTGGACTTTATTTCCTCTTCCTACAATTTTCGATGGATCACAAGTGATGAATTTATCTGTTGGATTCCGGCATGGTCAGGAAGCTTGTTTGCAAGTCTATGTTGAAGCCCTAGTCTAGTGGCCCAATCATTAAGGCTAGCTAGATTCAAATCCTTAATCCTGTTAGCTATCTTAAGGCGAAAAGCTAAAGGATTAGAAAGAGTAAAGAAATAGCTGACCTAACCCCAGAATCGCCATTAAACCCCTAAACTTTAATTGATGCATATAAACCCTTGAACTCTGCTATCAAAGCAATTAAGCCCTTCTTCTCACGCCAACTTAACTGCTGTTTGGACTTGCTCGCATGGCTTAACAGCCGTTTATGCTTGGCTGCTTGCCATGTCATGCTTATATGGTAAAGGAATTAATATTTGAGTGGAATTTTGGACTTATTTGATCATTTAATTTTTTGAATTAAATAAAATAAAGTCATACGTTTGGGTGAAAATATTATTTAAATAAAATCTTAA